ACAGTATCATGGTTTCATTTTTCTTCTAAGAATCTTGAAACAACAACAACAACAGCTGTTTTTTCAAAACCGCCCAGTCAAATGCACAAAGACACATACACACATCAGTCTCTCCATGACACTTTCAGACAACCAACTATAATAACCAAATTTTGTGAGAGTCAATGAAAAATCCATTTCTTTGGGTCCAGCTACCACATGAATGTCACCTGTTTCATGACCACTGTCATTATTATCTGAATGCGACTTTATTTAAAACTCTGCCTGTGACTTTATTTAACACCCTGCCTCTGCCAGAAAACGAACAGTTTATCCCTAGGTAGCTTTCCATCTTTGTCAGGACAGAAGAGACATGACTTTCCAGAAAATCAGCTATATTGCTATTCTGATGTCAGGTTTTACTTTTACAGCTTTGAAGGGACCAATTTTCCCCTTCATTTTGTTTCCTTTGGTAATATAGTGCAGCTATAGGAAGACTCTTTTTTTTTGGCGGGTGGGGTATGTGTGTGATAAAACAGTTCCTGTCTCCCTCAGCGATGTCTCAGCACTTTCTACATCCTTCAGCTACTTTCAAAGCTGGCTGGTGTGGTGATTTCATAAACCATCCTCATTTCCTTCATTTAAGAAATCACGCCCGCTTGTTTCCCTGCTGCCCTTTACAGTGATCAATAAGGATTAGTTGGAGTGGCAGAATGTTCTGTAGCTTCCTTGAGAAGGAGATCCTTTTGGGAATTCCAAGAGAACCTTATACACACACTTCCTCTCCCCTCCTGGACCGGTGCCCTCTGAAGGTAAGGATCAAAGGTGAGGATTCACATAAGGAGCACCAGGAAGGATCTACCGGCATTAGGTAGACAGGGAGCAAATGAATACATAGAAGGGAGGGATGGGGCAAGGAAGGATGGAGCGGGGAGTGAGGAGAGAGAGTTTACCTCACTTGAAGTTAATACAAAGATTAAAGAACAGGATGGTAAGTGATACGGGGTGACTGCTGGGCTTTATATGGGGTGAAATTGACTGACGGCTAGGAGTGGTTTGATTTGGGATATGAAAGCAAATTTAAGCTTTAACGATTCCTCATCTTTCTTTCCCCAGCTGCTCTTGTTCAGGCTTCTAGCTGACCATACAGACTTTGTACAGGCTTTGACACCAGTGGAACGGAACCTGGGTTCCACTTGTCTTCACAACCGACTAACCACTGCAAGTCAAAATGCCATTTCTGTTCATCTTACAAGTGGCAAGCTCCCAGTTTTTCTTTCTTTTTGTTAATTACAGACCATGAGTAACTGGAATATTTCAGAAAACTTGACTCTTTAGCTAATGATCAGCTGCACATGGTTGCCCCATGACAATAAGTAGGGGATGGTGCATGCAGGTAACTAACCCACACTGCACAAACAATTGCTGACATCTTTAGGCGTTTGTGGGGGTGACCGATGAGCACAGGGTGGACTGCTATAGCCTTTCTTACGTCAGATACACAGGACACAGGGATGCAGCTTGAGCATGGATCAGCGTGAGAAAATGTAGCCTGGCTTTCGAGACCTCACTTGCTGGGAGAGAGTGTCATGTGAGGGGAAGAGCAGGCCACGAGCAAGCACCCTGCAGTAGTTCATCGAAGACCTGGGTCAGCAAACCGGGGGTCCATTGCTTGGGAGACCGCTTCTCCAGGGCAAAACCAGAAATAGGAAGAATGAGCAGAGAGGTTGGTAAGCAAGATGTTTTGGCCGTTTTTCCTGAGCCCCAAATAACCTGTGTCTCATATCGGCTGGTAAGTGGACATGAAAACAAAGCTCCGATTGGCACTCGGTTCCGACAGGCCCATTTGGGTCACAGCAATGATTCAAAGCACCTGAATATCTTGGCTGACACCAAGGGTCCCAGATGTGCTTGGTCAAAAGTCATGTCACCCAGATGCACAGGGAGACTTAAGAATTTACTCAGTGCAGACTCAGCCAGGTGAGGGCCAATGGGGGCATTTTTTAAAATGTCTGTTCCTACACTCGACACATCCCCAAAGGAGAAGGGTCGGTAACTGACTGAGCTTGCCTACAAAGACCCCCAAGTCCACTTCACCAGAGGAATTTTCTTCCAAAGGCCTGAGCAGCGGCTGCGTGAGCACGGTTTCCTGACAGAAAGCGGAGCTGGAAGTTGTGGAAGTTGTTTGTGCGTCATCCTCTCTAAATGACTTGCAAATTTATTCAAACAATACAAGGAGATGCTTTATTTGTTGAAATAACTGTCGGCAGTGTCCTGCACCAAAGGGTGAGGTACCTCAAGCAGAAACATGGATTGAAACACATTGGTTTAGAAACCCATAAATCCTGATTTGGATCTGCCAGCCTGAAAGTCACGGAGAGCCCAAGTAAACTAGTTTTCCTAAATGCTACATCTGATTAAGCCACACCATAAGTGACAGCTGAACTTTCACATTAATATGATATTATTTAAACAACCACATGATTTTTTTTTGCACTAAAAATGATGAATGATTTCTGGACAGCTTAAATGACGTAAAGCGGGAGGACTCTTTAATAAGATTTGACAAAATGGAGACGTATGCAGAATATTCGTTACAGCCCGCGTCGCAGGGGCCCTCCCAGGGACCCGACAAAGGTCTCCTTCGTTCCTTTAGTTTTTTCCTTTTTTATTGTCTCTGCACTGAAGCGTTCCTTTCACTGTCACGCCCCTTCTCTGTGGATCTGGGTTTAGCTGGCGCCAATCATGTGTTCCTCTTAATCAGAGAACTCGGTGGTGTGCGGTTCTGAGTTGGCCCGGTATTTCTAGGAGATCTCAGGGCAGTGGGGAGTCAGGCCAGTCTTGGATGGGGGCAGCGTCCTGGGAACTTTAGCTATGAGGCAGCTCAGGCTGACAGCCTGGAGCCTGGCGGACGGAATGAGTGTATGTGAGATTGGTTCTCATGCCATAAAGAACTCCCACCCCGCACCCCCACGTTTAGCAACCCGTGGTGTGTAGATGCAGTCTCAGGGGAAAAGGCGGTTACTTTTCAATAGTTGTCCGCATTTGATCACCTGGAGGGGAGGTTTCCTTTTCAAAAATGTCAACGGAGCCGTCCTAGGGGCCTTTCCCACCCTCCCACGCTTTGCTCCAATTTGGACGCCAAGCTTGACAGCCTTTGGATTGGACAGATTCTGAACAGATAAAACGGTTCGAGGTTGAATATAACATAAATTTAAAAATGGCTTCCAAACCATAAACAAAAACTTGCAAACTATAGATTCTTTTTTTTTTCTCAGAGAACTAAGCCTTTTTATTTCCTTGTTTCACAAATTAAGCTGGCTGCTTTGGTTGCTTTTTGGTGACTAGTCAAAGAGACCAAATCCCATGTCCTCGTCCGACTCTTCCGATTCCTCCTTTGCTTCTTGCTTGGCCGGGGCCGAAGCAGCAGGAGCAGCAGCAGTGGTGGCGGCAGCCACAGGGGCAGCAGCCACAAATGCAGATGGATCGGCCAAGAAAGCCTTGACCTTTTCAGCCAGTGGGAAGCTGTACTCAGTCTCCACAGACAAAGCCAAGACCCGCTTGTACCCATTGATGATCGAATGGGGCACAGAGGCGACAGTTGGGTAGCCAATCTGCAGGCACACACTGGCAACATTGCGGACACCCTCCAGGAAGCGGGTGTGCAGAGCTTCCTCTGTGATGTCAAGCACTTCCGGGTTGTAGATACTGCCATTGTCAAACACCTAGTGGATGATCAGCCCAAAGGAGAAGGGGCAGATGTTCAGCATGTTCAGCAGGGTGGCTTCGCTGGCACCCACTTTGTCTCCAGTCTTGATCAGCTGCACGTCACTCAGGATTTCAATGGTGCCTCTGGAGATCTTCGTGGTGATGCCCAAAGCCTGGAAGAAGGAGGTCTTCTCGGGACCCAGGCCCGTGTTCTGAGCTGGCACTGTCACCTCACACGGGGCGATGGCACCAGCACGGGCGGCAGCTGGCACCTTGTTGGCCAGCAGCATGTCTCTGATCTCAGTGAGGTCCTCCTTGGTGAACACAAACCCCACATTCCCTCGGATATGAGGCAACAGTTTTTCCAGAGCCGGGTTGTTCTCCAGGTGCCCTCGGATGGCCCTGCGCATCATGGTGTTCTTGCCCATCAGGACCACGGCCTTCCCGCGGAGGGACATGCGGATCTGCTGCATCTGCTTGGAGCCCACATTGTCTGCTCCCACGATGAAGCATTTTGGATAATCATCCAAAAGTTGGATTATTTTAAGGAAGTAGTTGGACTTCCAGGTCGCCCTGTCTTCCCTGGGCATCACGGCGGTGCGTCAGGGATTGCCATGCGGGGTTTAAAGACGTTGTCACCCTGAGAGGACGCCTGGCGAGAGCGCAAACTATAGATTCTTAAACAGTCATTCTCTTAATCAGTCATACCCTTCTGACTATTTCCCATAATCAAAGGTCGGTTGGTTGTACATGGAAAACACAAATATTTCCCTGCTAGCACGTGTAAATTTCACATGATGAAACAGCCACTTTTTATAAATCAACCGAAAGGATGTGTGACATAGAAACATTTCCACAAACCCCATCTCTTCCAAAATCAAAGAAAAACAAGGACACACCCAGCAAAGCTAACAGCAAGCATGCTCCCGACAACATCAGGTCCCCACACCCTCCCCGCGAAGGAAGCCATGAGGAGAGGAAATAAACCCAGCTACACCCGCCATGGGACCTTCCTCGGGCTGTGGAGAAACAACTGCATGTCTACCCCTACTTTCTCCCATAGCTGGAGGTAACCCCCTAGCTCAACCCAGCTCGCTAATCTGATTTACTCAGTGTGTGTCCCTGTCCAAACAAGAGTTAATATCAGTGCTCTATCATTTGTAAAGGGTCTGGACACAAGGTTACTAAATGCAGAAGCTCACATGCCTGTAAGACACCCAGCTAGATGCAAAAACAAACAACAACAAAAAAACCAAACCCAGCTTTAAAAAAGGGAAAAGCAAGAGGAAGACAGATCCCTACCTTGTTCTTACCTTCGCAACATCCCTGTCAGAATCCTGGAGCTCTTTCCCAAGTTAGCATCTGTTTCCCGGAGCTACAGGGAGAAAAGTGGCATCAGAAACAGCAAACAAAAACAAAAACTCACGCAAGCCCAATTTCTCTTTCAATATAGAAAACTCAAATGCTGAAGATAGATATATCCTGTCATTCATGCAAATGCTGAGCCCTCAGAAAATTACATGCCATTGATAACAAACAAAACTGAGCAAAGCCAAACCCACTGCCCTCTAGTCGATTCCAACTCATAGCGACCCTTTAGGACAGAGAACTGTCCTATAGAACTGCCTTTCCAGGTTTCCAAGACTGAAAATCTTTCCAAGAGTAGAAAGCCTCGTATTTCTGTCTCTCGGAGTGACTGGTGGCTTCAAATTGATGCATGTGAGATTAACAGTTACCAGAGCTCCTACTGTCACTGATAACCCCAGGGTATTTAAACTGGATACTTGAACTGGATATAAAAGCAGGCCGACCAAGTTTAATATATGTCTGGTAGCTAATCCCCAGATTTATCAGTGTGTAAAGTTCTAAGACTATAAACGGAAATGAACAGAAGGAGATATCAATCTCTTCATAGCTTTTACTCTGAAGGACTTGATACACAAACACAATCTTCCCCAATAATCTTTGAAGCTATGGAGCTAAATGAAATATCTACCTGGGGGCATTCCTGGTCAGGGAATTGAAAATATTTCTTTTTCTTCTGTCCACACTCTTTTTCTCTCACCAGATTCAACACTCCTCTTGTCCTGCCAACTTGAGTACATATTTGTACTATGTGTTTGTTCCTAATTATTCCTTTGTACCTAAAACCATGTTGGCTACCTGAAAGGTTCATGGCTGGACCCCACCAGGTGCTCCCTGAGAGAAAGATGTGGTAGTCTCTTTCTAAAGAGTTACAATCTTGGGCAGGTTGACTGTTCTGTGGAGTGGCCATGAGTTGGAGTCACCATGATGGCAAGGGTCTGGTTTGGAGGTGTTCATGACCGCCGTCACTACCAGTTGCTGTGGAGTGGATTCTGACTCGTGATGAGTTGGGTAGAGCTGGACAGAACAGACTTGTGCTGCAGAGGGGTAGCAATGGCAGTGACCTTCTTCAAGTAGATCACCACCAGGTGCTTGTTGGCTTCCAAGGGTTCATACCATCAACATCGATGTTAGCAGTCAACTAGTTAACTGTTCACACCACCCAGAATCTATTTGTCCTGAAGACCCTTTAGGTTCTATCTTATCATTTACTGAAGTCTTAAAAAGTGTATCACTTCAACTTACTCTTTCCCGTGCTCGCTGTATCTTTTCTCTATCATGACTGAGGTTTTCCAGCATCTCCTGGCCGATTTGCTCTGAAAAAAAAAAAGCAAGTGTGAATAAGGAAAGGTAACTTAGGAAGCAGCAAAAAAAAAAAGGGGGGGTGGGGGGAAATCATGGGTGCAGAATGAATGCAAAAGGTGTATACATTAAAAATCAGAAAAATAAAAATCATGCATTTAGAAATATAAAATGCTATTACTTTTCCTGATGCGTTGTCAGCATGGTAAGGGTGTGAGTCACAACTTGACCGATAGGCAATAACCATCATAGCAATAACAATTTACATTAAGAGACGATATGATTTGCACAAGGCTACCACCAGCAATGAAAGTGAGCCCATGTTCAATCGTCCTTCCATCATTTATCGTCATGGAGTTGGTTTTTGACAGATTATAAATAATGCAAATGGCTCTAGCATCTCTACTTCGTTATGGCACAGTTTTGCATAAAAAGTCAATCTTCACTTCAACATTTTAATGTCCTTCCCTTCCCGCCCCCACTCACCCACCTGCCTGCCTGCTGCCTAAGTGGTCTTCATATGGTCAAAGCCTTTAGCTTACTGTTGGGACTGTTTCTAGACTGCTGTTCTCTTAAAGTCTAGTGCTTGGCTGGCATGTTATCAGCGACTATATACATTGCAGTCAGGGAGAGGGGGTGTCCTGGACAAGCAGTTGAGAGGAGTTCATGCTGGAGATAGTATTTTTCACCTGAGAAGCTCTAATCACTTGTGTTCTAGCTGTTGGTCGCTGTCAGGTAGACTCTGACTCATGGCAGAGTAGAACTGGGCTTTCAAGACTGAGATTGCCCAAAAGCAGACCGGCAGGCTGGTCTCTCCCAACAGCTCTGGGTGGTTTGATCCACCAGCATTTTTGGTGAGTAATCGGGTCCTAAGGAGTCCTGGTGGTGTGGATGGTGGTAGAGGACCCTCTCAGATTGACTTTGACATTTATTATTAGCACCACACAATGCAACCTTCAGATAACATTGAGGAAGGTACTTGATTCCCAGTGGAGGCATCATAAAAGTGGAAGATGTCTGCAGAGCCGGAAATTATTGAAGTGTAATTTCCCCGCCCCACTTTTTGTTGTTTTTGCATAGCTACCGTGTTTCCCTTCACCATACAATTATGCACGACTGTTACACACTGTACTTCTTTAATCGACACACTGAAACGTAGCAATTCCAATTCACAACGACGTTAAAATCTGTGAAGGCCATCATTAGTATAATTATGTCAGCAAAAATAGTATTTCTATGATTTCTCTCACCATGATGGACAGTACTATCATTTTAATGTTGAAGAACATCCGTCTGAAAAGAATGGGAAGCAGGTCGTACCTGTCACCAGCATAATGTTGCCAGTAAGTATTTGTGAAAGGAATGAAGCAATGAAAGCATATAGCGAGTGAAAATGGAGTGTATGAAAGGCTTGTGACCTATTACTATTATCAAAGCACATTGGAATGTGGGTCACACACCCGTGATTCTATTGGTTCCCCAAGAAAGGTGGGGGGCAGAGAATCTCTACTCTAAAATGTTCTGTAGCCCGATGTTGAAGGAATGGATAGGACCACAGGTATAGAGCTTGGACCATCCTAGGAGTCATAAATCTCCCTTGAATCTTCTTGCCTCCAAAGGACAGACCCTATATGGTAAGAGAAGAAATATTGGCAAGGAGTCACACATCCTGGTCTTAAAATCAAAATGCCATGCATTTCTTGGACACAGAATTCTTATTTCAATTCCAGCTTGCTGCCTTTCTATTTTAATACCCCAATAAAGGAAATTCCAGCGCAAACATATTAAAATGAAAAAAATAATGCAAAGAAGGCCATGGGTGCTGTTTTCGTTACATGCCTTCTCTTCTCCCAATCAACCCAAAAGAAGATGGCAAATTAGAGGTAATCGGGGAAAAAAGATAGGGTACAACGTGTACTTGGTCACAGACAATTGGGGACAATTCCTTAAAACTTAGTAACATCAATGGGTTAGTTTTTCTTAAATAATTTCCCTTAAGACGCCAGCAAGCAGCAATACACTGCTAATGAAAGAAGTCAGGCAAAAACAATGGCAAAAAAGGCCGGGTCTAGGATTTCAGTTCTTTAAAACTTACCTAGTGCTTTCAGAAAGAGAATAGCCATATTGCCTCTACTGAAACAGTCTGACAAATGAAACATTTTATAAATGCTGTGCTTGCTGACGAAGGGTCTTCTGGGGATTGTGAAACAATAGGAATGATCTAAGGGACTCGGCGCTGACGCCGAGTGCTGGAATTCTGCATGATGAACGCACTTCTGGAAGGAAGCGTCCTTCCTGCTCGATGTCTTGCTTTCCACAGGGTCCCTGGCAATCATCTGGGGAGTGCAACCCTCCAACTCAGAGATATTCTTCTTTTCGCAATGACCCAGTCAATCGTATCCTTGATCGCTAGTCTTTTATAGAAGGGCACACGCTTGCAAAGGGGATATGGGTTTTCTCTAAAACGTATTCCCCTTTTCAATCTTTTTCTTTGGGGGGGAGCGGGCTGCACAAAATAAGCATTCAGCACCTCCTGTCCCACAGGGCATGAGAAGGAACGGAAAAGTTACAAGTCACTTTTGTGAAGGCATGTCCTAGCCTTACAAAAGACAGGCTTAGTATCACTGGAAGCATCATTTTGCTCCATTCACAATAAAACAAAGCCACCTGACCGAAGTCCGTCATTAAGAGCAAAGGAATGAATTTCTCTTTTTTTGGAGAGGTGCAGATCAGAGTATTTTCTCTAAGAAGGAAGAACTATAAAAGCTTACATCTTGTTAGAAGATAAAGTTGACTGACAGACTAGGGGCCTCCATCTAATTCAACAGAAAAATGTTGCATACAATACATTCAAAACACTACACCAAAATTCTAGCCATGATGCCATGCTCAGTGCAGAGCATTTATGGACTCATCAGAAGATGATTCCTCAATTTCACTGGCTTTTTATCAACTTTGTGAAGGATGCAGATTTCAGCCGAGTAGCTTTACAAAGTGAAGGCAGTTCACAGGACTAACAGGCAAGGCTATCTTATCTCTTGGCATTCACCATGTTCATCAGCATCCACCAGCATCCAGCTCCTGTGTGTACATGAGGACTTGTGTGGAGCACAGGGAAAAATAGCAATGATGTCAAGGAGCTCTTCTGGAAGCACATGCTTTCATGTGTGTGTGTGGAGCATATCCATCAGACAGGAAAGTCTTAGTTCTTAACAATCTGGGATACGGAATTTTGGACCTGGTTTGGGATCTTCTAACCCATGAATAAAGATAAAAATATGTTGCTTCAGGAAGGGTAATATAGAACATACAGCTTCCCAGGACAGAACTGGTACTCATTGAGGATCTGGTTGGGCATCCTTTAGCACTTACCACACTTTCTTGGATACTGGCTCTGGTATCATGCTTTAAGTATTATGATTCCACCCACCGATTGCCAAGGGGCAGATTTCAACTTCCATTGACCCTAAAAAGGTTCCTGAGACTGCAAATCATTATGGGAGGTAGAGAGTCTCATCTTTCTCCTGTAGAGTGGCTGGTGGGTTTGAACAGCTCACCTGGAGGTTAGTAGCCCAACACCTAGTCCACAACACCATCAGGGCTCTGCAGTACTGTTGATACTAAGGTATAAAGAGTCATTGAAATGCCTAGCACCTAGAAAAGCAGGGCTCTGGAAAAGATATACTTTTTCCATCTGTAATTGGACAATTCAAGACATGTGAGGAACTTCTACTTCCAGTTAGTAACAAGGAGGATGCAAAAGAACACTGCTACGGAAAAAGTAATCATGATGCTTTTGTGGGAGGAAGTGCAGGGGATGCAAAAGGCTCTTGAGAATTCTCGAGGGAAATGAGAGCTTGTGGCTGAGCAAAGAAGAATGGAAGTCTGAGCACTGAGGATGAACGAATAGTCTGTGTTTAAGTCGACGACAAGCAGACTCATGAGGAGAACTCAGTTCAACTTACAGGGCAGGGTGGGCTTGACAAACAGGACAAAACAGAAGCTAGATGAGCTCTGAAAGCAAATACCAACTTCTTGGCCTGCAACTTCCGCCAATCTCTCATATTTTGTCAAGAAAGTAGCTGTGGAGGAGGGGCTACTAAAGGGAGAATCCCATCTTCCCACACATTCTTGGGTTGTTCATGGCCATGACTGTCGGAGTTTCATTACAAAGGTGAACCAGGGTAGCAGAAACTGCAGCTCAACCCGCTTGTGGGTCAACCCAGAGCTCAGATGGCAGCAGGGAGCCCGTGGAGCCGGGTCAGTCACAGGTAGAGTCAATCTAATGAGCAACGTAGCTCAGCACCAGCTCAAATCCAATTTTGGTGGAATTATCAGTCCTTTATCTTGAACATCCTAAGTTGTAGAAACAGCTTCCAGAGGAACACAATTAAAATGTGATACTTCAGATTCTGTTGTTCCTTTGCACCTTATTATCCAGACTATTATAATAACGGCAAAGACATGCAACGAAGACAGAAAAACCATCCCCGTGGGCCAGGAAAGCACAGTCTACGGAACCACGTGAGAGTCAACTGTGCAAGTTAGCAGATAAAAGCATTCAAACAACTATCAACACTGCTAAACATGTACAGAACTAGGTGAGACAACGAGTGAGTAGAGAGGGTCTTTCATGAAAGAGATAGAGCAGAATTGTAGAAGGAAAAGAACAACCTCTGAAATCAATTCACTGGAAGGGCCAGAGTGGACCCTTCACAAACAAAGGATCCTCGGCTTGAAGACAGGCTAATGAAAATTAGTCACACTAAAGGAGAGGGGAAAGGTAAACAACAAAACTGAAAAACACACCAAAAGACAGCATCCATTATCTGTGAGACACTATGTGCTTTTACATACATGTAATTATCCACAGGACTGGTGAACCTATAGAGATAGGGGATGTTGGCAGGAAATGGGGAGCTAATAATAATGAGTTTCACAAAACAAGAAGAACATGTTCTAAAACTGATGGTGGTGACGATTGTAAAACTGTTGACTTGTAAGATGTGAATTA